GTTACTTTTCTTGTCCTTCCTTCCACTGTGTGCTCTAAGAAGAAAGCAGGTGTGTGTGGAAGGCATCTGGAATTCTGCACCGCCTTCTAAGAGCAAAACACCTTCATACATTATTTAGGGTTGGGATGGAGTTCAGATGGTAGAGCACTTGCCTAGTATGCTCAAGGCCCTGGTTTGATTCCTAGCACATGCCTATAAGCCCAGAACTCTGGAGGCAGAGGCAGGAAGATCATGAGTTTAAGGTCATCCTCAGCTATATAATGAGTTTGAGGCCAGCCTGGACTACTTTAGTCTCTGTATAAAAATTTTTTTTCAGCTGGGCAGTGGTGGCACACGCCTTTAATCCCAGCACTCAGGAGGCAGAGGCAGGTGGATCTCTGTGAGTTTGAGGCCAGCCTGGTCTACAGAGTGAGATCCAGGACAGGCACCAAAGCTACACAGAGAAACCCTGTCTCAGAAAAAAAAAAAAAAAATTCCCAGTATTCTGCATTGGAGTTTTACATACTATTGCGAGGGGGAGGGGGGGTGTGGGGGGCGAGTGTCGAGACAGGGTTTCTCTGTATAGCTTTGGAGCCTGTCCTGGAACTCATTCTGTAGACCAGGCTGGCCTCAAACTCACAGGGATCTGCCTGGCTCTGCCTCCTGAGTGCTGGGATTAAAGGCGTGCGCCACCAACACCTGGCTTGGTGGTTTTTCTTTAATCACTTATTTCACCCTTGTGGATGTTTGTTTTGCTTTAGGAACTCATGAAGTAATCCCAGGCCACCTATTTTTGCATCTTGCATTGGCCATAAGCCACTCTTTGAATCTGTTCCTGCATTCTTTTAACATTTCCCACACTGCCATGGGGCGTGGAGAGGGTTTTTGCCTATATGATTCACTTACTTTCTGGCACTATAAGATATCTCTGGGTCATCTTATTTCCTGTCCACTCCTAGAATCAGCCAGAACCTCAAGAAACACAAGTTCCTTCTATTAGGAACTGGCATAAGAAACCAGATCTGAGGAGCTGGAGAGATGGCTCAGCAGTTAAGAGCACTGGCTGCTCTTCCAGAGGATCCAGGTTCAATTCCCAGCACCCACGTGGCAGTTCACAACTGTCTGCAACTCCAATTTCAGGGAATCTGACACACATGCACAGATATACATGCAGGCCAAACACGAATGTACATGAAATAAAAATAAAAATAAAGTAAATAAATTATTTTGAAAAAGAAAGAAAAGAAACCAGATCTGAGCAGTAGGTATTCTTGGTCAACCGGAGTTCTCTTACACCTGAGACCGTTAAGCTAACCTTTTAAAATTGTGTTTCAGTTAAAGCAAGAGCTACTCAAAAAGCTGTCAGAATCCAGGTTAAGGTTGGGGGTGGGTATTAAAAACAGCCTGTGAAGAATCCTTGTTTGGGGTTCCATTTCTTGGGTTCATCTTTCTTGAGTCTGAGCTTCTAAGTGGCAGGCTAGAGGTACAGCATCATGGTGTAGGAGGGTCCCGTCCTTCTGGGAGCTGGGCGGGGAATCTGCTCTGGGCTAGCGCCTGGGTCTGCTGCTGGCCATCTTTAGCAGATAGATGTGTCTTATCGGCTCTGTCCTCACATGGCATTCTCAGCGCATGTCTCCCTGTGCACAAGTTTAGCTTTCTTTAAGCACACAGCCTTCAAACTGGGGGCCCACCTACTTTACTGTCACCCCTCCCGCCTAGTTACATGTACAAGGATCCATTCCCAAATGAGTTTGCAATATAAGGCCTTTGGGGTTAGGATTTTTAACCCACAGATTTTGAGAGGAAACACAATTCCACCTCTAACCCTGCTCTTGTTTTCTTAAATTCTAATTATATACACCATTCTCTATTCTGTGGCCCTCTGGATCTCACATTTCTCCTTGTCCGCACAGCTCTTGCACTTGGCCTTAGTCTGTGCCGGTTCTCCAGCAAGAGCAAAACTGGATCCCTCTGTCTTTTGAGCCCTTTCCTTCCATGTGCTAGCAATTTTGTTTAATTTCTAAATAGTGTGTGTATATGTTTTATTGATTGCTCAAAGAAACAAGCAGCCTGGGTTGGAAGGCCAGTCCAGGATGTTGCATTACTAGGCCAGATGCACAAAACGATTCTATAAAATATATGCAGCACTTGGGAGGCAGAGGCAGGTGGATCTTTGTGAGTTCGAGGCCAGCCTGGTCTACAGAGTGAGATCCAGGAAAGGCACAAAGCTACACAGAGAAACCCTGTCTCGAAAAACCAAAAAAATAAAAATAAATAAAATATGTGGATCTTCTTAAAACATAAAGTGGAAGTTAAAAGCACCAAAAGTCTTCCTATACTTCCTCCAAACTGTAAAATTAAAACATTGTCTGCTTTATATTAGCCATTTAGGAAAACTACTCACTGATAATTAGGAATGATTATTTTTTAAATTAAATTAGTTTTGATTTATCTGGCAAAATTAGGATTCTACAGAATGTTAGCTGTATGAGTATAGGAATGGTCTGGGCCATCTCCACAGCGAACAGAGCGGCATCTGCCACGGCAAAGGATCCCAGTAAATATTGGATGGTTTTTCATTGTACTTCTTTCTCTGTTTTTATTTACTCAATAAATCTTAGAGAAATCTGCTCAGTGTACCCAATTGAACATCCCTACCATACACACATAAGCCGCGGCGCCATGTTTCCGGCCTTCACATCACCTAAGGACCTCTACAACGGCATCAAAGCCCGCAACCAGCAGCCTTTTCCTCCTACAGCGCCAACCAAGGCCTACGATACAACGGTTCTGAAGACAAGAGGTAAAATGTGACTTGAAATCAAAACTGTATGACTTCTTATTGGCATGGATTCAGTAGTAAAATCAAAGAAGGCACGGAGAGCAGAGGATGTAGTGACCTATCGGCACTGTTAGGAAAGGTGTTCAGCCTGCCGTCAGCTGAGCGCACTGCAGACCATTTCAGTCACTCTGCAGACACTTATGGCTGCACCTCTACTGGTCTTATGTCGTACTGGACCCATAGGTCTGGATTGCTCTGATCTCTTCAGAATAACTACTCTTGCTTCAATTTCCAGGTAACCCTTACAGATATGAACTGCTTGATTTTCCCATGGATTCAAAGAAAAAAGCATTGACTTGGCCAGGTCAGGGTGTATATTATGAGGTAAGTATCTTTCAAAATTAATATACGTTTACCTACTACACTTCTAAACTACACACCATAGGGGCTGGGGAGATGGCTCGGGGTGTAAAGTATTTACTGTGCAAGCGTGAGGACCTGAATTCGGATTTCCAGTGCCTGCACAGAAATTTGGGATGATGCAAGGTGAACCTGGCCAGCCAGCCTAGCTGAATCAGTGAGCTCCAAACTTAATGAGAGACCCTAGCCTACAGTTCTAACATGGACAACGATAGAGGAAGCCACCCAGTGTTAACTTCGGGCCTCCACAGCGATGCATGCACACGCCCCTTCACATACATGTGCCCACCGCCACACACATGCACATACACAACGTGTATGTCAAACATATAAAAGTGCACATGGTGGATGGCTTATATTTAGATGAAAAGTGTGCAATTTTAACTTTCATATTTTTTAATTTTATTAGCTGATTTCATATACTTGCGATAGATATGGCACATTTCCATAATTATAAGACAAAAACAGTTAATGTGTGTCTTTCAAACTATGGTGGAGAAGGACTGCATTTCACATACTTTGCATTCTCTAACTCCATCCTCATGATTCATAATATATTGAGTAATTTAAGTAATTCCACCTATGCATAGAGGAAATAGGAGATTTTTTTTAAAAGTTCGTAAGCCATTTTCATTCTAGTCATTATTAATACATTTGTATCAAAGTCTAAAAGAAAACATGATAGGTGAAATTGCTGCACACAAACCACTTTGAGATACATCATCAACTCTTAATTTTCCACTATTACTACCACCACGCCCATTGTATAGATGGGGACACTGAGACTCAGTTTATGACTATGCAATGGTTAGAGTTCAGGTTTGTGAGGCTTGTCTCTGTTCTTCACCTCTGTACCAGAATTCCACATAGATAAAAGGGAAATTTTCAATCATGAGAGAACATATCTAGGCATTTGAAAATAATAGTAGCTGCCATATATTGGCCAAATGGTTTCTAAGAGGCAGCACCAGGTCCTTCCATATAGTAGCTCTTGCACCCAAGAAGTTGTGAGCTAGGTAACCAATTCATAATGGAAGGTTGGAAACATCTGAGTTTTACCTGGAAAACCACTGTGGCAGGCCACCTGTGGTCACAACAGTGACATACAACTGTCAATAAAGTAAACAATTTCTGTTGTGTTTTGAAGTAGGTCTAAAGGAACCCGTTACACAATCATTTTAACTGGATCTCTGATTTTTTTTCTCTCTTTTACAATTATTTACTTAAAAAAATAAACTATTATTTTTAAAAGTCATGCAAATTAATAAAAGCATCAAGGGTCTCTCTGATTCTTTCAGGTAAAATCTATTACCTAAGTAACAAATATGAGAGGTTATTCTTGCAACTGCCCCCGTTATTTCATGTTCTAATAGTCGGAGTCTCTACCATGTGCTTCTTCATGTCGCTCCTCTTTGGGTTCCTCGTTGCCCAAGTGGAAATGTAGTGAGTTAGGAAGGTCTTCTGGAAGCAACCTTACTTCTTCCCCTCATCCACTGTTCCCTGAGTAGATTCAAGCCATGGAATGCCCTCTGCATTTCTTCCTTTCTTTTTAAGATTTATTTATTTATATGAGTGCTCTATTCTGCATGTGCAGAAGGGGGCATCAGAGCCGGCTATAGATGGTTGTAAGCCACCATGTCATTGCTGGGAGTTGAACTCAGGACCTCTGGAAGAACAGCCAGTGTTCTTAACCGCTGAGCCATCTGTCTATCCCTGCTTCCATGGCCTATCTGCCTGTCTAAAGTTTGCTCATTTTCCAGGCCTCAGCTAAACAATTGGTTTCTATTGAAACATAGCTGGGATCTAAGTCAGGAGACTGGTGCTCACTTCGGCAGCACACATACTAAAACTGGAACGCTACAGAGAAAATTGGCATGGCCCCTGCAAGGATGACCCAAGTCAGGAGAGCGCTGTTCTAGTTAGTAGTTGTCTTTTCTTGGCATCTGCTGTCTCGATGATACGGGAGGCATACTGTTTCTTTTTGACCTTTGATTAATTATCTGTATGATTTCAGTAAAGCTGGCCTACAAATGTGGAGAGTTTGGGGAATCATATAAATTCTGGAAAATACTAGATAAGACATTATTGTTAGTCCAGCAGGAATTGTTTTCTTCTCTGCTAATACCGACCATACTCTATAGTCAATATCTTCCCATGCTGATTTTATAGCCCATCAACTAAATGACAACTTCTTTGAGAAGAGAGTATTTTGTATTTATATCTTCTACAATGTTTGCGGGGGTGGGGTAGGGTGGGTGGCATTGTTTGTTTGTTTGTAACAGGATCTCCTAAAGCCCAGACTGGCATTGCACTTGGCATATACCCAAGAATGACCTCAAACTCATGATCTTCCTGCCTCCCTCCCAAGTGCTAGGATTACAGGTATATGCTACCACACTGGTTTTATGTAGTGCTGGGGTTGGAACCCAGGGCAATGTTCATACATTTACACTAGCAACTGAGCTACATCCCTCATACACAGTGCTTTACACATACATTTTCCACTAGTTTTATTCGTTTTCATGTCTCTCTAATGCATAATCTCACTTTTGTGATTCACTAGTCTCATTTTCAACTTTTTGGTCATTCTTCAGACTCATTCCTAACTTGAATCCACTTTGGCACTGACAAAAATAAAACTGATACTGAGTTAGATGAGGGGTACTGAAGGAGACCAGCATCCCCCTCCATAGCAGGGGCTTTCCCGGACCCCAGATTAGGCACAAACCACACCCAAACACCTGTTTTCACCGAGAGCTCCTTTATTAAGCGGGAAGAAAAGTTACAGTGGCTGCTCTGTGACTCAGGCAGAAAACAGCAGCAGTGACCTTGTGGGTGTCATTGTTAAGAGAAGAGGAAGAGGAGGTCTGTGTTAGGATGGGCGAGGATGTGGCAGTAGAAGAGATAGAGGATGAGGGAGAAGGGGAAGGGGACAAGGGAAAGGGGGCAGGGGTATTTGTCCCCGAGGGACCAAGGACTGCCTCTGCATAGAGAGGAGACAGGCATGGCCTATGGGAAAATGGCGGTTTATAAAAGTAAAGGAGAAACCCTGTGTTAGGATGAGGTGTTTAATTTTAATTGGGCATGTTAATTAGGTGAGCCAAAGGGGGCTTCTTTTTTTTTTCTATTATCAGCTTGATATAGTATAAATTCTCTTATCCTAATAGTGAAATGTTTCCCTGAGGCTTGCCCAGTGATTGAGTAAAACCAAAACTTATTATAAGCCACAGTCATCCTAGGGTCCCCCCTGCTATGTAGCCTCCCTGGTTCTGTGGGTTGCAGTCTGATTGTTCTTTGCTTTATATCTAGTATCCACTTATGAGTGAGTACATACCATGTTTGTCCTTCTGGGTTTGGGTTACCTCACTCAGGATGGTATTTTCTGGTTCCATCCATTTGCCTGCAAATTTCATGCTGTCATTGTTTTTCTCTGCTGAGTAGTACTCCATTGTGTATATGTACCACATTTTCTTAATCCATTCTTCTGTTGACAGGCATCTAGGTTGTTTCCAGGTTCTGGCTATTATGAATAATGTTGCTATGAACATAGTTGAGCATATATCTTGGTGGTATGACTGAGCATTCCTTGGGTATATGCCCAAGAGTGGTATGGCTGGGTCTTGAGGTAGATCGATTCCCAATTTTCTGAGAAAACGCCATACTGATTTCCACAGTGGTTGTACAAGTTTGCATTCCCACCAACAGTGGAGGAGTGTTCCCTTTGCTCTGCATCCTCTCCAACATTGACTGTCATTAGTGTTTTTGATCATAGCCATTCTGACAGGTATAAGGTGGTATCTCAGAGTGGTTTTGATTTGCATTTCTCTGATGATTAAGGATGTTGAGCATTTCTTTAAATGTCTTTCAGCCATTTGAGATTCTTCTTTTGAGAATTCTGTTTAGCTCTTTAGCCTATTTTTCTTTTTTTTTTTTTTTTTTTTTTTTTTTTTTGGTTTTTCGAGACAGGGTTTCTCTGTGTAGCTTTGCGCCTTTTCCTGGAACTCACTTGGTAGCCCAGGCTGGCCTTGAACTCACAGAGATCCACCTGGCTCTGCCTCCCGAGTGCTGGGATTAAAGGCGTGCGCCACCACCGCCCGGCTTAGCCTATTTTTCAATTGGATTGTTCAGTATTTTGATGTCTAGTTTCTTGAGTTCTTTATATACTTTGGAGATCAGTCCTCTGTCAGATGTGGGGTTGGTAAAGGTCTTTTCCCATTCTGTAGGCTGTCTTTTTGTCTTATTGACCGTGTCTTTTGCCCTACAAAAGCTTTTCAGTTTCAAGAGGTCCCATTTATTAATTGTTGTGCTCAGTGTCTGTGCTGCTGGTGTTATATTTAGGAAGTGATCTCCTGTGCCAATGCATTCAAGAGTACTTCCTACTTTCTCTTCTATTAAGTTTAGTGTAACTGGATTTATGTTGAGGTCTTTGATCCACTTGGACTTGAGTTTTGTGCACGGTGACAGATATGGATCTGTTTGCAGTCTTCTACATGTTGACATCCAGTTATGCCAGCACCATTTGTTGAAGATAGTTTCTTTTTTCTATTGTATAGTTTTGGCTTCTTTGTCAAAAATCAGGTGTTCACATGAACTATGAACCAATAGTTGAGGAGCCCCCAACTGGATCAGGCCCTCTGGATAAGTGAGACAGTTGATTAGCTTGAACTGTTTGGGAGGCCCCCAGGCAGTGGGACCGGGACCTGTCCTTAGTGCATGAGCTGGCTGTTTGGAACCTGGGGCCTATACAGGGACACTTTGCTCAGCCTGGGTGAAGGGAGGAGGGGACTGGACCTGCCTGGACTGAATCTACCAGGCTGAGCTGAATCCCCAGGGGAGTCCTTGCCCTGGAGGAGATGGGAATGGGGGATGGGCTGGGGGAGGGAAGGGGGTACGGGAGGAGGGAGGACAGGGGAATCCATGGCTGATATGTAAAATTAAATTAAATTATAAAATAAAAAAATCAGGTGTTCATATGTGTGTGGATTAATGTCAGGGTCTTCAATTTGATTCCATTGGTCCGTATGTTGGTTTTTATACCAGTACCAAGCTTTTTTTATTACAATAGCTCTATAGTAGAGCTTGAGGTCAGGGATGGTGATGCCTCCAGTTGCTTTATTATACAGGATTCTTTTAGCTATCCTGGGTCTTTTGTTTTTCCATATGAAGTTGAGTATTTTTCTTTCCAAGTCTGTGAAGAATTATGTTGGGATTTTGATGGGGATTGCATTGAATCTGTAGATTGCTTTTGGTAAGATTGCCATTTTTACTATGTTAATCCTACCTATCCATGAGCAAGGGAGATCCTTCCATTTTCTGATATCTTCTTCAATTTCTTTCTTTAGAGATTTAAAGTTCTTATCAAAAAGGTCAAAGGGGGCTTCTTATTGCTGGACTTCAATACTTCAATAGCTGGACCTTGGTGATCAGCTTCAGAAGGAAGAAGTGGTCAATAAGGGACTAGACCTTGATGACTAGCTTTAGGAATGTAACCTAACAGTTTTTAGCAAGGCAGAGGGAATCAGACAGAAGGGCAAGACCTGCCGGAGCCATGCTCGTCAAGCTCAAGCTGGCCAGAGTCCCTTCAGGTACACCATGGCTCATCTTTTGTTTATTTTTGGTTTTATATGTATGCATGTTTGCCTGCATACATGTGTGCCATGTGCATGTCTGATGCCTGTGGAGGTCAGAAAAGTGCATTGTATATCCTGGAACTGGAGTACAGATGGCTGTGAGCTGCCATCTGAGTGTTGGGAACGAAACCCTGGTCCTCTGCAAGAGCAGCTGGTGATTCTAACCTCTGAGCCACCTCTCCAGTCCTCATCTTTTACTTTCCGTGAACTCAGGGTCATACCCTGAACTAGTCCTCTCCCATTTCCCTCCCCTTGCCACTTGACTAGGGGAGGTCAAAGGTCTTCGTTTTTCTCCCCAGATCTTACTTGCATTAAAGGGTTTGTACAGCACCAGCCAGCCCTTCCTATCACTGGAGCCATGGCTCTCACCCTCTCCTGCACATTTGAAACACCTCATCTTTCTCTGGGGTTGGCTCCAAGCAGGAAGGCCTGTTCAAGGACTCGTGACTCACACATACTATAGAATGTCCAACCAGATGCCAGAAAAAATCTGCCACTTTATTTGTTCCCATCTGTGTCTTTTTCATTCCATATGTAAATAATCAAAGTTCACAATCATATTTATTAGTGTGATCGTGTAATTAAATGAAATAGGATGCAATAAAGAACTAGTGTCTGAAAATGCTAAAGTCCTTCCAGTGGATGACGTAGTATCTACAATAAGCCCTGTCTTACTCCCTGCTAAACCTGAGTAAGCCCTATCATTCTACACTAAAGCACAACCAAAGGAAAAGGTTCTAAAATTTCCTCTAGTATATCACCACTGCATGATTTACTAATGTTTTAATGGAGATTTATGGAGTTTGGGTGCCCAGTACAGAGCCCTCAGAACTTTGCACATAATTCTGTATTTAATAAGTCGTGACTTAATACGTGTTTATTAAAAATTATTGAGCTATGGTCCTGGGAAGATGGCTCAACGGATAGGAGCACTTGCTGTACAGGCATGAGGACTTGAGTTCCCATCCCAGCACTCACATCAAGAGCCAGATGTGGTGTGTGCAAGCCTGGATCCCTGTGTAGAGAATGGGACAGAGGTAGGAAGGTTAGTTACTAAGGCTCTAGCTGCTGGTCTAGCTCCAGGCTCAGTAGGACACCTGACCTCCACTGGTCACACACAAATTACTGAGCTACATATATTTCGTGGGCTGAAATATATGAAAACTGAAAACATAACATCACTCTTGTAAACTGGAGCGTCTTCCTAGAAAGAAATGTGCCAGCAAGTGGAAGTCCTTCCTGCCTGTGCTTACCTTTGTTGGGCACATGTTTTATGCTGCAGGTACCCTTCCCCA